ATTAGTGCTACCAGCATGGTGCAAGGGTCCGGCTATGGGATGGAGAAATCCCTGCCCCCACGTGATGCCCCAGCCAGCCCTGACCCTTCTCCTGTTCAGCGAGTTCCCGTGTGCCTGGGGGTCTGTGCTGTCTGCGCAGATGCCCAAGGGTGGCTTGGGAGCAGATGAACAACCAGGAGGACAAAGGATTCACAAAGCAGAGCTGAGCAAGGGATGGCTAAGAAGGTTAAGAGGCAGATAACAGAAACCAGAACATCTGGGCAGCAGCTCAGGCCGACCACCGATCCCCCGTCCGCTGTCTGCTCCCATCACTCCAGCACCAGGAGACGTTTATCCCTCACTGTGCCCGTGCTGCAGAGAGATGGGCTGGTCCCTGCTGCTGCCCGTGTTCAGCGCCAGAAGGAGTACATGGCAATTGAAACATCCCAAGAAACACAAAACTTTTACCAAGTTTTTCCTGGTCTGGGAAGGGGCTTGTTCCACAAGCTAGACCATGAGCACAACTGATTTTTCCAAGCCAGATTTTCCCAGCACTGCTTCTCTCTTTTTTTTTTTCTTTTTTTTTTTTTTTGTGGTGATATTTTTAATTAAACCTGTCCCAAAATTTTCAGAAATTTTCAGTAGTTTTCCTCTCCGTGAAACTAAATGTGTAGATTGTTTTCATTCAAACATAAATAGCATCTCTTCTGCCGGTCTGAAGTACGAGTCATTTTTACTCACCTTTTATCCACAGCGCAGTGTCACGGAGGAGGTTCACAGTTTGGCTTGGACATTATATCATGGAGAAAATATTGTGGTTGGCTACAGACTTCGAAACATCCTGAAAGAGACTTTATTAAGTGGCTGAGATATGTTGTTATCTCCTTTGTGATTTACACAGTGCAAGAAAAATGAATTTATCGCATCACCCAAGCAAGCACGGTCCCCTTCCCCTGTGTGTAGACCCATTCCCTGGAGACAGTTTCTCTTTCCATGATCTGCAGTGGGTGTCCAAAGCTGCACGGACATGAACTCTGCTCCTTGTATGAGCAACCCCAGGAATATTTGGGAGGTGCTTGTTGCCATATTTGCATTGGTAATGCAAATACCTCTCATATTCAAGTGATTTATGGAAGGCTGGGCTGGGAAGAGTATCTACAGCTTCAGGACAATGGGGACAATTAGCCGTGATGCTACTGCAATGCCTGCCCCAGTGGCTGTGGTCCCGCAGCCGGCAGTGCACCGGGAGCCCCAGGGCCAGGATCAGAGCTGGCCGCCTCGCATTTTCCAGCCAGTGTTTATGGCTGAGTCATTTGGGGGCAGCCCTCCAAGCGCGGCTGGAGAGCGGCTCACATCCACCCCTCCGTTCTCTCTGCAGCACATCTTTCCTGCACCACACCGCAGCCACCTCCCGTCGTGGGCGCCCGGCTCCGGCTGCAGCCCCTCTGAGCTGCTCCTGCTCCGTGGGAGGATGATGTAAGGGAGCATGGACAGCAGAGTCTCAGGTCGTCTGGTCCATAGCCCTGCCCAGCTCAGCCTAGACAAGCATTTGGCAAGGAGTGATCAAACCTGCTCTTAGATCTCTCCCGTCAGCCACCCCCCAGCTCCTCCCAGAGATTTCCTTCAGAATTTTTATTCTTACCAACAGGAAGGCTTTTTTCCTTATGTCTAGTCTGAATTTCTTTCGCTCTAATTTAAAACCATCAGCAGGGACACAGCAAACATTGTCCTTTTTCTCCATCCTGATGCTTTTTTTTCTTCTTCAAGCTAAACAACTCCAGTTTGCCATGGATGGAACTGGACCAGGATTTCTGTTGAAGGGCTTAGCTGACCATCTACTGTGTTGATTGATACATTAACTTACGCTCTTCTTTCCCTTCTCAACCCACAGGTGAGTACAAAATGCCGTGGCCTGTGGTGGGAATGTGTCACAAACGTTTTTGATGGGATCCAAACTTGTGATGAGTATGACTCCATCTTCGCCGAGCACCCTGGTATGTAAAAGTCAAAGATGTTTCTACAAGTGCTGGGGATACCTGAGTGTAGCCAAAAAGAGCATCTGTTGTGCTCAGTGACAAATAATTTGGTGCACATGCATATTAGAGCCATGTTTCTTTTACTCCGAGGGAAAGCTGGAGAAAGCTTCATAGAGAAAAAAATGTTCCCGTGGGATCTGACCCCATTACCCACCCAAATTTCCATTCCCTCTGCACTAGAACCATCTGCTTTTGTCCTGCAGTGAAGCTGGTGCTGACCCGAGCCATGATGATCACAGCAGACATCCTGGCAGGATTTGGATTTCTCTTCCTCGTCCTGGGACTGGACTGCGTGAAGTTCCTCCCCGATGAGCCGCTCATCAAGCTGCGCATCTGCCTGGTGGCTGGAGTGACATTGCTCATTGCAGGTATTCCCCCACCCGCGGGACAGCCTTTCGCAAGGGGAGGGGAGCTTTAAAGCCTTCTCTTATTTGGGGGAGAGGAATTGGTGATTTTCTAGAGGGTAAACATGGGGGAAGGATCTTTATTTGCTTTAATTGAGCACATGTTTGAGTTTATCTGCTTCCATTCCATGTATTGACCAGCTGGCTTGGCTCTGAGCTGACTGACTTCCATCTACTGCTGCTTTACTGGGAAGAAGTCAGTGTTGTTGATAAGGCAAAAAGACCTAATTGCTGAAGGCTGAGAAAGTCCCACCATCCTGGCTCGGTTCCTGTCTCTGCCACAGATTGTGTGACCTTGGGCAAGTCACTTAGCCTGAAATCTCTGAAGCCGATCTCTAATAAAAGGATAATAACACGTCTGTCCCTCCTAGGTGATAAATACCTCACTGAATGAGGGGCTTTGCTGTTACAGCCAGTGGGAGAATTTTAAATGCCAAAATAAATAGACAGCCAACTAGGTACCAAGTAATTTCATTTGACTTTATGCCAATATTGAGCATCTACCTCTGCTTCAGCGTAAGCAGATTTAACACAGAGCTCACCCCAGCTCCAGGGAGCACATGTAAAGGACTTTGAGAAGTTCTTTTAAACATCCTCCATCCACCTGCCAAAGTTGCTCTGAAAAAATGCTGTTCAAAGTTAGTTCTGAAAGTCAAAACAGATTAGAAAATTAAATTATTGCAGTAACTTTGCAATAAGTTGATAAATGAGCTGAGAAGGGCTGTGTGGAACCTCCCTCCATCCCTCCTCCCGCAGGTCTCCCGGGCATCACCGGCTCGGTGTGGTACGCCGTTGACGTCTACGTGGAGCGCTCCTCTCTGGTCTTCCACAATGTGTTTCTGGGCATCCAGTACAAGTTTGGCTGGTCGTGCTGGCTCGCCATGGTGGGGTCACTGGGCTGTTTCTTATCCGGGGCCCTGCTCACCTGCTGCACGTATCTCTTCAGAGGTGAGGAACCGTGGTGGGGCTGAGACACGGTTCGGAGACAGAACCATGGCTTGGGTGTGCTTACAGGCACATGGGGGGGACGGTCCCTCAGGATGGTTGCTCATCCCCAGTAGCAATATTTTCAGCTCTAAAATGGGAGGAGTGTTATTTGAGCAGCTCTAGAAAGCACATTAAGGTCTTCAGGTGGGAGCTGAGGTGTGGGGATGACATGATGTTACTGTGTCATACCTCAGAGTGCTGCTCTCTCTGCATTTGGAGGCTTTGCAGCTGAAAGTCACCAAGCACTCATTAGCAGATCCTGTTTCTCTCCCTGTGCCTTGCAGAGACCAGCTCTGGAAGACTCCACTCTGCTTACTCCTTGAGGAAAGGCTATTCCTCAGCTGGGACAATCGTAACAAACGTGCATTTGCCATCCTCTCAAACAGCTACTGCCAAAATGTATGCGGTGGACACAAGGGTGTGAGGAGGAGGTAAGCGCTGCAGAAGGATTTCTGCTTTTATCTGTGCTGGATTGCATAGGAACCCAAGCTCCTGTGGCTGTGATACAGATGCAAAGAAATATATTTCAAGGATGTACTGTATGCTGCAATGTTTGCATTGTGAGAGCTTCAAAAAAACCTTCCTTCGAGAAAGTAATCTCTGAGAAGACCTTGCTTTAGGGAATCCTGTTGTCTGGAGTGCTGAGGCTGCTTCCATAAGCCTGGACTGAAATAACCAACACAAACTCTTTCAGCATTTGGCTCAACGCTACCAGTAAGAGTGAAATAAATCAGCTGCTCCTGGATCAGACTCCAGCGCTTCGCATGAAGATCCCCAAACTGTAAGATGGATCTGTTCCGTGTCTGGCAATGTGTTGTCAGAATGTACAAAGCAGAAAATACAGGTGAAGAGAGGGACAGATGGTCTGGCCAGCATCTAGACCCTGTGCACCCAACGTGGGGGTCTGCTCCTCTTAAAGGCAGCCGGAGAGCTCAGCAGAAGACAAAGAGCTGTGTTCAGTGCCTGGCCCCCTCTCTAGCCCATGAACCTCTGCATGGATGAAACCCTCAAAATTCAGGAGCATTCTTCCCTGCAAAATATGGTTCTTCTCAGTAGGTGTTAAAATGTACATTACAGATGCTCTAGACTCACTGAGAGCTGGAAATTGCCAGGTTCTTTCCATTTAGTAACAATTCTGTCTGGACAAAGACAAAGTGAGTGAATATCCAAGATCTGACCTTGTGCATGACAAGATGTCGGTACCAGCTAGCAACTAGGATGATGATAGTGAAATCTATTCTCCTTCTCTATCAAAAGATATTTAAATGCAGTTCAGGACTGCTATCCCCTGCTGCAATCCAGCCTGGGTGAGGCCAGAGCATCAGCCATGCCTTCACTAGGGTGGGTGAAAAAAACCCCCCAGTGTGGTTTAATGTGTTCCCTAAGGATGGATGCCAAAGTTCTTCCATGCCTTTAACAGAAAGAGAAGCTGAGATACAATTTTTCTGAGGGTTGGTAGGAACTGGCCAAATCCAGTCCTTTCTACCACGGGCACCACATCATATGGTCATGGGCACCAGGGAGTGAGAAAAGGCTCTCCGCACAGACCTGTTCAGGAGGAGTGGAGAAACGCCAGGGAGTCTCAGGAGGGTGTGCACACCCGTGGGTGCTGAGGCTCCATCTCAGGAAGGCTTCCTCCACTGGTCACTTGGTGGGAAGACTGGATGGAGAACCTCCCTTCCTCCTCCCAGGCAGTATGGAGTGAAGCCTTCTGCTCGGAGGGACAGAAGGAGCCAGGGTGGCTGTGGATGGAGGGGGCTGTGACCCCAGGGGTACCCCAATAACCCCTATGATGGAAGATGAGGGAACCAGTCCTCTCAGGGATGATCCTGGAAGCAGCATCTTGTGCTGCAGCACAGAACTGACCAGCAACAGTCAAACACAACCCAGTCCTGACATGGCTCCTAATGAAATAACACACGCCGTGGGACAGATGGGACACCAGCAGGTCCATCTGGCTTTGCTATGGGCTCAAGCACCTCCCCAAGGCTCAGACCATAACACAACCATCTCAGCAAGAGCCTTGGTGGCAGCACTGCTGCCCAGGCGAGGGAGGCGTCGTGCTGCTTTGGTTGGCAGACGTTTATGTTAGCCAGACTGAAAACAACTTATTGCCACCAGGTGAGCTGTATTGAACAGATGTAAACACAGTAGGAGAAGTGAGGGAGGCTTTTTTAACAAAGTCCTGAGAGACGAGGAGTACAAGAGGTATGAGTGGCATGATGAATTCATGGATTACACCAAGAATGCACAGAGAGATCTGGAGGTGAGAGGAATTCCTGCCTGTTATTGCAGGAAGCTGCATCCAGAGCCTTTTTTTTTTTTTAACTTTTTCATGGTCACATCAGAAATAAGCACAAATAAGGCACATGCGTAGCCCAAATGCTGCCTTAGCTCACAGTGCATCATCCTTCAACAAAGACATATACAAAGAACGTTGCATAACCATTTGTGAGCCTTTCTCTTCTTCAGTGTCTATGGAGAATAAGGGTTAATTCTTTAACCCTGCTCCTGTTCTAGCCACACTCTATGATACCTTTTGAGGATCTAGCATCTCCTGCACAAGAGGACTAGGAGAAGGTCACAGCAAGCCTTAGGTTTGCCACGTTAATGTTTTGTAACAACCAGTCCAACGCTGCATTGCTTCATTATTCAAATCCTGCTGACAGTCTATCTGATGTTTTGATCAGTTGTTAATATTTAATTGTTAATTCACTTTTTGATTTAATTCTGACTCTGATTTCATGACTGCAGCATTTACTCCTCGTTAGCTCATTATCATGCCACAATGAAGAATGGTTTTAGTTTGGCTGTTTACTCATTAGCAAGAAACCTCCCGGAAAGCACGCAGGACTTCTTTTTTCTTTCAAAATCACCACCAGTCCCTAAGGCTAAAGACATTGCAGGTGAGCTCAGATATTAAGGTATTTCCTTAATAGCTACCTACATCCCATTCACCAGCAGCTTGCTGGATATGACAACAGACCGACTGCCTTCCTGATGGCCATCAATGGCTTCCTGAGGCTCTTTGCTTTTAGACGCAATTTCCAGCTGAGCCTCAACATTTAATCCTTCAGTGCCAACAGCATTTCAGCCTTCTCCAGGTTTTCGCTAACTTCCCTTGGAAATACATATTTTTGTATGCTTGTGCATCTCAGTCTCGTTGCTTCATTTCCCAGGGTATAGGCAGAGTCTGGGACTCAGCTGAGCCCTGGGACTCTCGGGTTTGCTCCCCACTGTACCCATGGTGTCTCCTTGGACTTGGGGCTCCTCCTTGCCCGCTCCACCGACAGCACACAGCTCGGTGCAGCCTGCCAGGGCTCCAGCTGCTTGCAGGTTATGGAAAACAGCAAAGCCTTGTAGGTAAGCTCTTTGCCAAGTTGATTTCATACCTTACAGATAGGTATTGATTTCCCATTTTGATACAGGCAAGTGAGAGAGAGAATA